ATTTGTTTAGGACGTACCTAAACCGATGTTGTGGCTTGTCATAAATGCATGTGAAGACTAAACGTGAGACTTGAAGAATTCATGTGAATGCAGTGTTTTATCTTGCAATGATTTCTTTAAACAGACACTGGAAATCCAACTAGATATATGAGTTGTTTTGGGGATTGTTGGCAATTAATGCATGATGATTTTTTAAATTGATTGGTGATCAATCAAGCTGATGACTTCGTGAATGTTGAGTGAAAAAGAAGATGTGGTGCATTTGATAATCTCTATGTAATTTTTTGCGTGGGTCTCCTTTAAATTGCTCATCTTCCAAGATTGTCAATCCCTTTTGATCAACTCGATCCATAGTTCATGCTTGTATTGTAGCGACTTTGAAATTGTGGTCTTGAGATATATCATATATCTTCTTGGTAGTAGTTGCGCGAAAATATACTTTTTGGAGTTAGTTGAGCATGTGTACTGCTTCAGCCTTCTTGTCGGCCAGGATCGGGCCCACATGTTTCAAAGTTGTGTATTTCTCGGTCTGTGTGATATATGAGGATCTTCTTCTATGTAGTTGAAGTATTGGTGGATAATCAGTTGGGTTCTCAGCTTAATGAGATCTGAATTTTCTCAAACTCCCCGAGATTTCTTCATCAACTCATGAGTGAAAGTTGATTAATCTGATTCTTAGGCTCTTAGACTTCCCCATCTTCCATGGTGTATCAGTTTGCCCCCGAAGATTTGGTACTCACTTTCTATTCTCCGGAACAAAGCGTGACCTTATCAATCTTGACTTAAGACGAATACAAGAATGTTTGAAAATGTTTATTAGAGAATTAAAAATGAAAGCCATATCAAGACTTTGCTTTCGAGAAGTGTGTGCAAACTGGATGAAAGCGTTTTTGCGTGGTAGTTGCCATGTGGCCAAATTTGATTTTTTTCATTAAAAAAAGTGTAAGCCAAGCCATGAGAATATCAGTAAGCACTCGCTCTCACTCTTGCTTTTTATTTTTCTCGCAATCACTCTCACTTTTGATTTCGCTCATCACTCATTCCTATAGGTGATTTGAGTGTGCGACATTTCAACTACTATTAAGATTCTAGTCACCCTGAGACGTCACCTTTATGTGTGGCCAACTGCGTTTCTTGTAAAGATTTACTCAATATGAAAGTCTTTGATGTAATTGATTTATAAGATCTTCATATGGTTCGTCGCAGACGTTTTGGTCTCCCATGAAAGAGACTTTTGTCCGATATGACTTTGATGGTAGGAGTCTTCTTGCTCTTGAAGTGTGGTTTATTCAGGTGGGTTAAGGATAAGTCAGATCTTGATCTTACCCGTATAAGGCTTCACGTAGAGGGATTTTGTCTTTGCCCCCAAAGTATGAGATTGTCTTGATGGGTTAAGAAACATTTATCCGGATCTTTTTGTTGACGTAGTCTTGTTTGAAAATGTTGGCAGTCCTGGGCATATTTGGGGGATGTGTATTTGGCTGGCTTTTCCCCCTGTCTTTGAGATTATGGTTTCATGAGTCATGGTTTGAGGTTTTTGCAAATGCAATCTGGGTAGGGTTTTTTGTTTTTTTTGGTTTTGAGACTCTAGATGTTGATTGTGGTGGAGTTCAAGATTCTGACTTGCTTTCAAACTGATGAGTATATGGGATGACGTGATTTCGGCCAAAAAGGCTTTCTTAACATGGAAGATCTTGCTTGAGGTCATCATTTTTTAATAGGACCTCGACTTGGTGCGCGTGATTGATACTTTCAAATTCTAACTAGGGGCACCTAATTCGTAAGTCCCACAACATTTGTTTTTTGTTTTTCCCCATTTTTTGCGTGGGACTTACTTGGCTATGGTATGCCCCAATCTATGCTTCTCTTTTTCTTTAATTCTGCATTTTTTCCTTGTTAGGACGACTATTAAAAGGTGGAGAACCTTCTTGACGATTGATGACGTGGGTATCACTTCTCATTAGCTAAGTTGAGTTAGCTATTTCCTTTTTTGTGGTAAAAGTGAGGATCCCGACGCCATGTGCTTGTTGGTATTGCATAAATATCTCACTCTCGGATTTTTGATGTGTAAGTTTAATGGACACTCTCTGCCTGTAAGGAGGTAAGCTCCTAAACCGAGTATAGGAGTGCTTCATGCGTTTGATCCCTTGGATATGATAAATTAGATCCTTGATCTTCCTAAATCTTCTAGTCATGCATCATGATTTAGCTATTTGACTTCATGTAAACTGAGTCTCAATCTGTTAGCAAAATTCGACTATAATGGTGAAAAATTCTACAAGTAGCATGATGTCGTATACTCGTTACACCTTTTGACTATTAAGTTTGACTCACAAGTTTATATCAACTCAAGTGGAGTGTTCAGATAATTAACGCCATTGGGCTCTTAAGCTCTCGACACCAGTGGGGTGTTTTAAATTCTCAACACCTGTGGGGTGTTTTAACTTGAACATGAAACTAGATTTTGATGGCCTTCATTTTCTTAAAAATAAATCTTTACTTTTTAAAAGGACATCAGAAGTGGTATTCATCATTTTGATTATGAAAACCCATTGATGCAAACTCTAAAATTAAAATTGATAATGTTCACACAGTGCTCCGAAGAGATTGAAACGTGAAAGACCTTTTATTCATGACGGTGAAAGCAAAAGTGATACATATTTTTTATGGCAAATAATCTCGATATTATATTTACTAGATAGGGTCAACATCATCATTGAATGGAGATTTGCCAAGTAGTATGCCTACTAATTCCCATGAGTCAGCAGTGGTTTATTGTTGACGTCTGGACGTTCCGACTCCTCTTCGAACTTCAACCAACCGACATTCATCATTTGTTGGACTTTGATCTTAAACATTCCACAATCTTCAATTGAGTGTCCCGCAACTCCTGAGTGGAAAGAACAGTGCTGATCTGACCTGTACCAATTTGGATAAGGAGGTTTCATTGGTTCACATGGTATTGGGGAAATTAGGTGATTTTTAATTAGTTGAGGGAGAGGTTCGGTGTATATAATGGGGATAGGGTCGATTTGGAGAGGTTTTTTGTATTTCCCGGGATTGTTCTGGTCTTGGTTATTTGGTGGTGCCACTTGTGTCGGGCTTTGGATTGTTCGTTGAGTTGGAAAAATTGGATGTTGAATTAGGGCAGGGTTTGCAACATGGGGACGAGCTTGATTGGCCTGAGGTTGATGATCCCACCTTCTCCCTTTTGATGATTCTGTTTGAGTATAATGGACGTATGATTCTCCCTTCAGGCTTGGTGTGGTTTCTTAGAGGCTTCTGGAATTTCCATTTTTCCTAGCTTAATCCCCTTCTCTATTCGTTCTCCAATTACTAACAAATCTGCAAAATTTGTTGTTGTGATTCCTACCATGTTGTTGTAATATGGAGGCTTCAGTATTTTGAAGAAGGTCGAAACCATTTCTTTTTCTGACAACGGGGGTTGAACATCTGCCGCCTTTCCTCGCCACCTTTGTGCATACTCACGGAAAGATTCATTTTCTTCCTTTTCCATATTAAGTAAATCTTCTCGGTCAGGGGCTAGATCTTGGTTGTGCTTGTAGTGTCTTATGAACGCATCAGCTAAATCTTGCCACCTCTTCACCTTCGACCTTTCGAGTTGCATATACCATCTTAGAGCCGAACCACTTAGGCTATTCTGGAAGCAGTGTATCATGAGCTTGTCATCTCTAATGTGGTTAGCCATTTTGTTGCAATACATGATCAGATGGTTTTTGGGGCACGCGGTAACGTCATACTTTTCAAACTCTGGAATTTTAAATTTATTGGGAATTATCAAGTCTGGCAGTTGGCACAACTATGTGGCATCAGTAGAATCATAGGATTCTACCCCCTCAATGGCTCTCACCCTTTCGTCTAGGTATTCCCATTTCGCATTAATAGCACGTTGCCCATGGCTCCTTCCAATTTGTCTTCCTCTTGATCATGTCTTGGAAATCGCACGTTCTTCTTGTCATGTACGTCTTTTGAAGGTATGACGAGGATCTTGGCACTAGAAGCTTAACCCTTAGGGTGCCCATCGCGATCTTTTTCATCAGAGTGCATTTCTTCATCGTTAGATAATACCCCTTTCCCTTTAGCTGATAAGATCTTTACTATCGTGTCCAGCTGATCCTTCATTTCATCGAACCCGACTAGCTTTTCATCAAATCCGGTTCTCTTTCCTTCAATGTCGCTTAACTTTTTCTGGTACACTTCCATGACGATCTCGAGCTTGGATCTAGTTAAGTACTTGAAGTCTTGACTTTTTCCTTGTGGACAAGCAATTTTAAGGAAACCTGGACCGTCTCAATATTGTCAAATTATTTTCCCTTTTTTTTATGATGGTGTATGCGTGATGCTTTTGCAAAATGTTAATGATGTATGAATGCAAATTCATTTTTCATCTCATGCATGTGTTTTTAATCTTCTTATGATAAGTTATGAATGAGTGAAATGAAAATCTTATGAGAGAATGATGTTTATGAATTTTGAAAACCTTTTTCATTCATATAATCACACAGTTTTACGAGTAAAAGATAAAACGCATATCATAACCTCGTAAACAAACATACATTCTCCTATTTAGGTAGACCTAGGTCTTTCGGGCGGCGTAACGACACGGTTTTAGGGTGGCGTCTAAGTTTACTATATGCATGCAGAAGAATTCCTAGGGATTTGGCTCCCAAGTTGTAACCTGCCATAGCCCTTTCGAACTGGCTGGATACCTCAAGATCAACCTCAGATCCGAGTTCAACTTGGTTAGAAAGTTTTGGCGTGATCACCACTACTGTGGATGTCACAGTACTCCTTTCAATTTTCTAAAGGGATGGCTCGACGTAGAGCTTTGATACATGAATGAAAAATTTAAATTGCAAAAATATAATTTGCGCAAATAAGTAGTAATTACAACGAAACCCTAGGGGTAAAACGGTCTTTTAGATCCGAGGGGTATATATAGTCTCTACAAAAAACCCTAATCATATAAACCATCAGCCAAGAGCGGCCGCCGCTCTCACCTCTCTCTTCTCTCTTCTCTAGATCCCCTCTCCCTCAGTTCTCTCTTTTTCTTCCAGAAGAAACCAAAACCCTAGCCACTAAAATGCCGCCCTCTTCTTCCCTCTATTCTCTTCTCGTTCTTGCCGTCTCTCTAAAATGAGAGGGATGGCGGTACAAACCATAATTTCCGCCCTTTCCTACTTCTCTCCTTCTCATTTGTTTCTGGAAACGAAGGGGAGAACGAGGAAGGGTGTCGCCTACAGCTACAGGAGGCATACGCCTCCGGCGATGACAATGACGATGACGAGGCTGACATTGAAGGTTTTTTTTTTTGTATTGCATGCGCGATTCTACTACTTTTAGGTATGATTTTAGGGTTTTTGAGATTCTGATCCTATGTTCTTGTGTTTTATTTCCGGAAAACTGACCCAAAGTCGAGGAGAGTTCTTGATCTGCTCTCTACCACTCTCGATCTACTCTTCAGTGAGTTTCTCCTAAACATGCACGCTTAGATCTAATTTTTCACATAAGATGTGGTTTTAGTCTTGATTTTTTTGGGTCTTGTGTTTGTGTGAGGAGAGAAGGAGAGAAGAGACCGGCAGCGACGACCAGACCGAGGGACGGTCGACGGTAGGTTCAGACCTAATTTTTGTTTTTGGGTTTATTCATTTTTTCCTGGTATTTTGGTTTTTAATAAATTTTCAAATTTTTTTTGTTTCGGTCGAGTAGAGGAGAAGAAGGGGCTCGCGGGATTGCCGGTGGCGAAGACGGAGGGAAAGGCGGCTAGAGTTATTTGACCTCGGTAAGTTTTTTTTTTTTTTGCTTTAATTTCCTTGGGTTTACTACGAATTTGTAACTGATCCTGACCTCTATTTTGTTTGGCGCAGGTTCTTAGTCCGAAATTAATGTAGGTGAGCTTTTTTTCAAAACCTAGATTATTTGGCTAAGATATTTAAATTAAAAAAAGATTAAGACATTGTTGGGTCTATTACTTCGGATTTGACGGATTTTAAACAGATTCGGGTTCTAAACCCTTAAATTTTTTTGTTTGCGTTTGGTTTCCAATTTTAGGTAGATTTGTTTTTTCATGAGCATGGATTTGCTAGATGATAGCAATTAACTAGAGCTAATTAATCTATATTTTTGCATAATTTTTCAAATCTGGTTTATTTGGTGGCGGTGCATGGCTACTCTTAGCCATGGTGGAAACGAGTCTATTTTTATGCTATAGATCGCTACTTCTGGTTATTATGAATCAAAGCCGGTGCTTGTGATTCATCCATATTGGGTTAGAGAGTGACTTTCTAAATGGTTATGGGTTTGTAGATCTGAAATGGTGATATGTTGATTTTTGTTGGATGCGGATCTAGACTAAACTTTAGAGATGGTTTTTTGTTGCCTATTCCTATAAGGGAAATTGAAAGCATGACAGTCTCAATATAGACTAGGAATTAAAGCATAATGCTGAAACGTAATTGATATGAATAGATATGAACAGATGTGGTTTGACCAAACAAAGCGCCTCAATTAAAGATACTCGTAAAGTAAATGGATTGACGGATAATATTGTACAGTGATTGAGTATAAATTTGACAATAATAAGACTAGATATTATTAAGAAGGTGGGAGAGTACAAACACTAACCTGATTGGAGTTTCGAGGTCCTAGAATGGCTTGCTTCTCCTTCTATCTTCAAACCTCTGGACTGAACTTCGAGGAAAAGACGGGTGCAAAGCACAAAAAACCCAGCTCCAAGTGTTTCTGTGTATTTCTGCAGTACCCTTTTTTCTCCCCCCCCCCCGGTCCACTAGAGTCGAAGAGCTCACTTATAGCAAAAAGAAAGCGCTACGTGTCATCTTGTAATTGATTGCCCTTGAGGCTAATTCTGCAAAATAACTGTCTCCCTCCTTAAAATGCGTAATCGGCTGTAGATAAGGTGGACTGAGATGGGTTGGGCTTAGATGGGTTTGGGACGAACCCGTCAGCTTCAGCTTATTGGCCGAATTGGGCCTGCAGTGCTGTTCTTTGTCTGGGCTTGAACTAGGCCCGACTTTGGGCCAAAACCTGTGCTCGAATTGGGCATCAGATATGGAATTGGACTTTCACTCTTTGGCCTGAACTAGTTTTCAATTTGGTTCTTTTGCAGGTCTGTGGCTGGTTTGAGTGCCAAGGAGACGGGCTTCAAGCCTAGTTCGGGTTTTCATTTGATTGGAGTTGTATTTCGTTTTTTTATGAGCTCTGGAATATTAATCAAGGCCATTGTATTTTTTATCGAGATGTAATCCTTTATGGTGATGTATAATTGACAAAACAAAACTTATATTTCTTTTATTCAATTAAGCTCATCTCTTATGTCCTATCCAAATCCAAACGCAACCCTTGAGTAGTCTTTTACACGGTAAACCAACCAACCATAAAATTAAAGTTACTATTGCTTTCATCCAATTGAGCCAACTTAAAACTAGACATGGGTAGCTTTGGTCATTGATAATAATTTATCTAGAATTGTATAGGAATGATCTTGGTAATCATTAGCGTCACTGGTAATCCTGATCACTTTGATATTAGAACTAAATAAGACTGAAGTTTGGAGTTATTGGTACTTACTGACTAGCCACTGCTAATCTCAATCAAATCCTTCAAAAGCATTCTATTTAATTCATTGTTATAATTTTCCTTTTTTGAGTTTAAGTACAGTCGTTGCCCCGGACAAAATGTGGTGTCTACAATCCTCGTGCCAAAAAAGGATGCAACTAGGCCAATGGGAAACCTTTAAAAGGAACAAGACAAGCATTGAGACAAATGATTTAGAGAACAAGGTTGGAACAAGCATAATATATAGCTAAACGGAGGGAGCACCTAAACACCTAGGGAACATGGTGGGTGACAGAAGTGGACTAAGAGCTATAATCTCAAAACTTGCTATAAGAATATGTCCTTGAGCCAACTGAGTATAGACTAGCAAGTAAATTGTTCAATGGAAATTCAAATAAATGTCAGAGAATTCGAGGAAGAGTTTCAATGGTCATGGTAGGGAGAACTTACTTAAGATACCAGGAGAGAGTAGGAAGGCTAGAGGAAGTATGACGAGATTTCAAGGAGTCCATTGGTCAAGTCTAGGGTAGGAAGCCGAGCTAGTAAGAATAACTAGGGAGGATTGAATGATCGAGTGGTACTCTGTTGGGATGAGTTGATATGTGATAGCAACCTAAGGGAATATACGAATGCTAGTATGAAAGCTTACCATCATGAGTGTAGACAAGCAATTACGATATGGAGTAAATTTCTAGGTCAAAATTTTCTTAAAGGGGGAGGGAAACGTTATATCCCAGCCAAAGCAGTTTCAATCAAAGAAAGTATGTTCCGTATAAGTGGTTGTTTCTCAGTCCTTATTAAATAGTTCCAATTTTGACGAAGAAATTTTTCTAAGGGTGGAGGATCCCAGATTCGGTCAAAGGTTTAAGAATTTGAGGGTGGCGAGTAACACCAACTCCCAATTTTTTAAGAGTTAAAGTATAAAGGGTGGAAGCATAAACAACTTCCTCAAGTTTTGGAGGTGAACACCTAAGGAAATACCCTTAGGTGCTTCGAGGTTAAGTAATGGCGTAGAATGATCCCAATCCACTCATCAGGTCGTAGAGGAGGACCAATAGAGTAGTCAAATAGAACGAGCAACAAGAGAGCAACCAGCTGGAGGAGTACAACACTAATGGCACTGAGGATGTCAGCAATCAGATCGGAGCAAGGGTATGCATAGACTTCTAGTTATTATACTTTATGTGTAGTAGTAAGACTGGAGATTAAGAGTTTTGATATTAAGATTCTATGGTTCAAGGTTTGCCCCAGTATTAGGGTTTTACCTTAAGCTATCTTGACTTTTTTATATCTATTATATTTACTATGATGTTTCTGTTGCAGTTTATGTTTTAAATTTTATTCATTGTCAAGGGTATTTTGCTAAAAGTAGTGCTCGGTCGAGCTAGGGTGTTACACTATCGTCATCTCATATCTCGTTCAGATTATATGCATGGTGAATTGCTTGGTTCTATTATATTTTCTAATATAGATTTGAAATCTGGATACCAACAACAAATTCATCTGCACCAACATTTGGCAGTTCGAGTTTATCTGCTACAACATTCAAATCAGGAACGTCTGGGATGCTGTATTCCGATTCATTGTGTAGCCAAAGTCCTGCACTAGTTATCTTCATCAAGAAGACAAGAACTGAAAGTCAGCATCAGACACAAAATGAAGCTCTATGATTGCAGAAAAGGTAAATCAAGACAACATCGCTGTAATATTGCACCAGATAAAAAAGCATTGTATTTGTATCTGGAAACTAAATCAAGATGTTAAACACAATTAAGGCAAACACTAACTAAACGAATAAAAAATTTAACACATAATTGCTATCGATGCCAAATATACGATAATGTCTGTCCTTAACCATAGCAAGTTAAACGCCCAGCTAACCATCATCAGCAAATCACAAAATATGAAATACTACCGTGTTTAATAGAAAGTTGAAGAAGAAAGGAAAAAAAATTAATATCATAAACACGGATTCAAAACAACTACAATTCTGAAACAGATGCGCTTTCAGTTACAAAAATATTAGTTCAAGGGCGAAAGACCGCGTCACAGATAGGGGAGAGTATAAAGGATTTTGGAAAGCAATCACAATCAATTTACAGGAGAAGACAGAATGAAAGCACATACCTTTATATGAATAAGTTGGGCATCCAAAGCTTCAACTCCAGGAAGCTCACTTGAGCATCCCGGCTACACATACAAAAAGGACAAACATTTTCATCAAAAAAGCGAGCAGCATTTTTCTTTTGTTATGAAAATCATGCAGCATATTGGAAAAGATAAGAGGCAGAAGCAAGAACCAAAACGAAAATCAAACAACTCAGAGAAGGATGGCACCCATGAAATACGAAATTCCAAAGCCACCAACACACAACCACTAAAAAAATACTTGGTGAAGCTCACATCAGGACGAAGCGCATTACTTCACTATCTTAGTCATTCACAAGATAACATTAGCAAGTTCTGCCAGACAAATTTTACTCGATGTTCTACCAAGAAACAGAGCCACGCACTACCTTAGCTCGGAGCGGGTGATATTGAAACCCTTCAACATCATGCATTCAAGGCAATCTCAAAGAAAAGAATAGCACAACGCATTCTCTAGTCATATTACGACCACAAAAGAAGACCCTGGACTGAAGCTTTGAACAATTCGAGGATGTACTTGTTGAACATAATTGGCGTGCTGAACGGCGTCCTGGTTTATTTATGGTCGTGGCTGGAATAGCTGCTCGTTGCCCCGTTTCCTCGCCGGTAGTCGGCCATGGAAAAGGAAAGTTGAGTTTAGAGTTGGATTTGAATTGGACGAACTTCTGCCGTAGTAAAGAGTGAGAAGTCTCAGTTTGACCCTGTTGTAGTTTTTGCATAAGCAGCTTCTCGCTTGAGCTTTTAGAGAAGCACATTTCAAAAAAATCAGTTTATTGTTTGGCAATTATAATGTAAAAGTATTTTTTTACCGCAGAAGCTGTTTGGTTCATTTGTATTAAAAGTACTTTTGGCTTTGATTATCATAATCAATTACTAAAATACACATCAATGCAGTAGCTAACATTTGTCAAATGTTTGATAGTTTTAGGCCAACGTGCTTCAAATTCTAGCGTCAAATGAGTACTCGGTGGAGGGAAATTGAACATGAGGCAGCCATTAAAATAATTAAGGTAGAGAAAAGAGAAAAAGTGATATCAAGAAGATGATGATGAAAATTTGCAGACATGAACATCATCTAACATAAGCCACTACAAGAATAATTATTAGATAATAAAAACAGATTCCAATAAAAAACATAAAAAAAAATGAATCATCTATGATTCCTGAGTGATGCAGCAATTGAATCACGAACAGAGTTCATGAATCTATCATCTGGAATAGTGCTTTCATTTCTTCTTTCTCCTTGACTTCCATAATCTCCAACTTCAACCGGATAGTTTGGATCTTCATCACACCTTTGAAACTCCTCGTCGTAAATAGCATTCATTCTAATATAATTGTGGAGAGCCATGGTAGCAGCAATAATCTTATTTTGTTTTTCAATATCAAAATTTGGTGGATTTTTCAAAATTCGCCATCTCTTTTTCCAAACACCAAATGTGCGTTCAATCACATTTCTAAGAGAAGAATGTGCATGATTGAAAATCTCTTGCAAACTTGTTGGTTCACCCCCTTGTTGGAATTCAACGACGTGATATTTGCAGTGGTCCCTTGTATGGTGCCAAATACCCTGTCATATTCGGATATCCAGCATCCACAAGATAATATTTACCTGCATAAATACAAGATCATATAAGTAAAACCCATTTGAAAACAATATGATGATAGAAGGATTAAATTTAATGCTCGGTAAGTTACCTTCAGGAGGATGAGGAAATATTTTGCCAAACTTTGCTTTTGCATCCATAAGTATTCGAGTGTCATGAGCAGATCCAGGCCAACCCGTTACAAAAAATGTGAACAGCATATCAAAATCACAGATTGTTAGCACATTTTGTGTTGGAATTCCCTTTCTTCCAATATATAGGGGTCTTTCCTCTTCAGGTACCTTAGTGGTGATGTGAGTACCATCAATCGCGCCAATACATCTACGAAAGTGAGACCAGTACCTTTTGTCATTACGAATCTTCTTTGGAACCTCTCTGAAGTTGTAGTCTCGTGGCTTGATAATATCTTCGGAACCTTTCTTCAAACTTTCTACTAACAGTTTCTCCGGAGTGTTTGAACCTATTTTGCGCATGACGATTAGTTTCTCCCATTGAGCATGTCTATAAAAACATAGCAAGTGCCTCCTCCGCCCTCATATTTAGAGATGACTTTAACCCATAATTATTGACTAGCAATTTTGCCAAACCCGTAAACAAATCTGGCTCCATTCTAAACATCCTGTAACTTTCACCTAGGGTATTTAATGTTTCCAATACCCATTGCCATCCAGTCAAGTTTGAAACTCTTGGTTCTTGCTTTGATAAATACTTTGTGTAATAATTGTTCATCATGCCAGCTCCCATAGCAGCAAGTGCGAAGAAAATCACATCTTCAAGTTCCTGTGATTCTTCCACCCTTTCGCCTTCGGTACTCATCTGTTTTCAAATCAAACAATCACTTAATGTTGAAATGATAAACTGGCAAACACAAATCTAAGAGAGGGATATATCAAGAGGAAAATCATCAAACAAATTATAAGTAAAATTTCATAAATATATAAGCCATTGTCATGAGAAAAACATTACTAAATTGTTCGATTTATGCACCAAATAAAAGAAAAATGTTCTCAATTCAACACTAAACTTATGAATTTTTGTTTTTTGAAAATAAATTATTTCTCCCTTCCATATTCTTCTTTAAGCCAATGTAGCTGCAACTCTTGTGTCCCTAATGATATGAAGATCTCCCGGTTATCCATATCCTTGAATAATCGACCTGCACATGTAATGAGTTCAGGAGCATTGTCCACTCCAGGGAGACCTTTGACAAATCCCATACATTCTGAAATGGTATAGGTGACTCTCTCATCTTTCTTAGCTTGTGTCCTTGAGCCAGCATAAATCTCAACAGCATTAACTAGTCGATCCAATTGCTTTTGGAAGTGACCTGTAGTTCCAACTTTTTTCTTCTTCGCAATTTTCATCACCTGTTCATTTGGTGTCTCATCCATTGGTTTTTCCCTCTTATCTCCACTGTATGCGAGATTGTTTCCCTACCTATTTGTACCCATAGTGAAGTTTAAGAACTCATCTTCATCCATCAAATTAATTGCTTCTACTTGTGATGGAGAATTTGAATTGGCATCGGTTCCATTTGTGCCATCATCCAAAGATGTCCATGCACCTTCTCCTGTCACCAAAATCTTAGAGAAATAATTTCCAGTAATTCTAGATTCTCCAATGGTGCATGACGAAACCTTGCAGCTTCAGGTTGAGTCTGTCAAAAAAGCACAATATATTTAGAAATCGAACAAGTGTAAAATATAAAATTGATGTCTAAATAACATATATAAATGATTCCATTACCTTCAATTTTGATTCCCACCACCAATCGTCAGCTACAATTGTGTGTTTCTCGTTATCCCATCCTAACCCAGTTTCTCCTTGCACAAGCTTTCTCCATATTCCATATTCTTTCTTCAAAGTATCCCACTTGTTTTTTAGCTGCTTGTAGACATACTTGTTTTGTGTCCTTGCTTGGAACTTTGCTTCTATGTTACTCCAACCCCTTTTATTGAAATGAGTACCGGGACGATTTCCGACATTAACCTCTTCAACACATACCTCACAGAAAATTCTAATAGACTTTTCATCCCATTGTGCGTTTTGCGATCATTAGTTTGCAAAGAAAATCCTTCTCGAAGGGTTGACATTTTGTTCTTGAAATTTCTTTCTACTCTATATGTCAAATAACATACAACAATTATAGTATATAACTAATGTTCATTACATAAAATTCACCTAAGGTATTCTTATCATTGCACCCAACATACAGAAGGAACAAAATAAGTCTCTTAATCAATAAAAATACAATCTAGAATCAGATGTAGAACACGTACAACAAATAAAGAATGGGATTGAATAAAACTAAGCTAAAGTTTCCACCGAACCTAGAATTTCAAGACTAGAACACAACATATAAAATAATAGAATTGGAATATAGCAAAACCAAAGAAATCATCCAAGCTATCAATCGAATGTATTGGTCAAGGAATATCAGTAGGTAAATATGACGAGAACAAAGTAAGATGGGAACTTATGAGACTTCTTTTCTCAATGATTCCAACGTGGAACGTGCGCAGTGTCCAACCCACACAAAAGAAAAACTTGATATGAGAAATAGACGTGGGAAAAGAAACTCCTAAGATACATATATATATAAGGCGGCAGCAGCTAGTGATAGCAAGGCGGGAAGTTATGGAGAGAAATCAATAGTTCCCGCTAGAATAAGGATAAAAAAGTAATATATCAGCAGCTAATAAAAAAGCCAATCGCAGAAGCTCCAATTTGGAGCTTCTGCGTTTACGTTATAAAAAGCACTTTTGAGCTTTTTTAAAAGCCCGGTTTTTAGAGGTGTTTGGTCCAGCTTCTGCGTTTGGACTCAAAAAACACTTTTAAAAGCCAGGCCAAACATAGGCAAAGTAGGGGTGTTCAAATGGTTACCATGGTAATAACCAAATCAATTAAGCCTAAATTGCATTAACCATGGAATAAAATAAGGATAAAAAAGTAATATATCAGCGGCTAATAAAAAAGCCAATCGCAGAAGCTCCAATTTGGAGCTTCTGCGTTTACGTTATAAAAAGCACTTTTGAGCTTTTTTAAAAGTCCGGTTTTTAGAGGTGTTTGGCCCAGCTTCTGCGTTTGGACTCAAAAAACACTTTTAAAAGTCGGGCCAAACATAGGCAAAGTAGGGGTGTTCAAATGGTTACCATGGTAATAACCAAATCAATTAAGCCTAAATTGTTTTCATGCATTAACCAAACCGTCCAAATTAACACGAAAACCAAATTAACCAAACCAAAGTTTAATTGGTTTGGTTAATCGGATAATCGGATTAACCAAATAACATGACATTACATGAAAGCAATTATCATGTTAATGAATAAAACATAACCATATGTTATTACTATCATAAACTATCATTATATATAAGTAATAATAATAAGACTAACCATCCATGATTATCATCATCATTCAAGTTAATACATCATTCATCATCTCTGCACCTAATATAATTAGCTTACAACAAACCCTTAACATAAATATTAAATACATATCAAGACCACTCATCAGGAAGTTAAAGCTCTCCTACAAAACACTTAAACTATACATAGTTTGAGGTGACTGTCATGGTACTGTACGTAATCCTAGTAGATGTCCAAAATATTTTGGTTTAGTAAATAGGCAGACCCATTTAATTTTTGAGCCATAATGCTTTTGTTTTTTGTGCACATGGAAATAAAATAGAGAATCACTAAAGTTTGGTTTGGTTGGTTGCATGGAAGTATAAATAATTTTGTATATTGCATGTATCATTAATTGGTTAATTGGTTTCATTGGTTATCAGTGTTGAAACCAAAGCAAACCACCTAAACCAAATAAGCTAAAAATTTTAACCAAACCAAACCAATTATCCAAATTAACCAAACCAAATTAACCGAATGCTACCGGTTAATATTGTTACCACGGTAACCAATCCGTTTGAACACCACTAAAAGAAAGTCGACGGAAGTTGGAAGCAAGAAGGCAGAAGCAATACGCTGTCATCTTGACTCTTGACAGACCGAAGTGACGGAACATGAAATCGTCATGCCGGTTTCAATGCCGACACTGACACTACCGATATGACTGGAATTATCGATTTATGAACTCTAAGTAAAATGAAAGTCAATTTAGAAAATTTGATTGAAAAGTGACTCGTCCCGAATAACAATAAAACTCTCAATTAGGGCCCAACTATAAATCTTAATTGGGTGCAATATATGACAAATATGTTTAAATATCAACCGGGGGCCAGTCCATGTAAAAATTATCTAGTGATTGGTTGTTTGATTGAAAACTACGTCTACTATTAAAGCGGTTGTAAAAGTAATTGGTTTTGACTCTTAAATGAGAAGGATTCACACTGGTGTAGCTCCCCCTAACTTGCTACCATGGCTTGTCGGAATTATTGAAAATATATGTTGGAGGTGATTGAGAACCGTAAGGGAAGTGTAGCTAGTGATGGAACATCACTCTCTCGGTCTCTAGGCCAAGGAATTCAGATTAAGCTACCATGGTAGCTCTCTTAGCCTAATCGACTAAGGACTACCGAACTTTCACTCTCGAATCGAAATTCGGACAGCCAAAACACAATCAACCTTGGTGCCAACACAAACAAGGAGGGATTCCCTACATTAACCTAGATAGGAGACATGATTTGCCTAAAAAAACCCAGCTTTACAAGCCTCTTTAACAAAAGGGGGTTTTCTCTCTACCTAGGTTAGAATGACAAATAGATTGAAAGGCAAACACACAACAC